AAAAAAATTAGCTAAATAGTTTTAATATCATAGCCAAACAACTTTCAAATCTTATAAGAAAATGTTTCTATAATAATAATAATAGTAATAATAATAATAATATAATAATAATAATAATAATAATAATAATAATAATACAAATAATAATAATAATAATAATAATAATAATAATAATTAAAATAATAATAATAATTTTTCAACTAAATTATTTGATTATGATCCCTCTAAATTATAAAATTACATTGCCCACAAACTTTTTTCAATCAATCTGATTATTCATATATACTTAAATAATTTATATTTATATTATTTTATTTTTACTAATGATTAAATCTTGAAAATGTGATATGTTCATTGTTTAGAATTTTAATATTGAATTTGCACATATTACTTATACTATTTTATATGAGTAATGCTATTTAGTCCACTTGGATGACAACTTGGGTTTCAACCCAAGTATAAATGCATTATTACAAAATTAAAGAATAATGCATTTAAAATTGAGTTGTAACCAAGTTGTCATCTAAGTGGGCTCTATAGCACTAGTATGAGTCCCGTGAAGTGCACGGGTAAGAGATATTCATAAATATTTATAAATTTAAATTTTTTACTAAATAATATTTATAAATTAAAAATATAGGATCAATATATAATATAATTTGCCTATATTAATTTATTAAAAATCTTATATAAAGTTTAAATTGTGCTGGTAACACAAAACTTCTAGTCCCCCCCACTCTGGTCGAGTCTGAATGACTCGATCTAAGAGTGAGTTTATACTTATCGACCTCCTGGATAGCATGGCGTCCGATATCGACCATCTGATGGATTTCCCGCTCATTTTTTAAATAACACCTCATTAATTGCCCGAGATAGGGTCACCTGTCACATATCCTTCTGCTGCACCTACTTTCCTGCCACCCGTCGCGTTTGCCGCATCTGTCAGTTACTTTAATGATAGCGCCTCCTCGCATAACGTGCCTATTTTGAATACCGTGATAATTAATGCCTCCTTCCGTTAGATCTAGTTTTAATCCTACTGTCCTGCTCTTCCAACCTTTTAACTTCCCAAGTATAAATTCAGTACTTAGCGATTTTTCTCAGTTTTTCTACCTTTGCAATTTCGAACTCCCCTGTGTTCAAACATCCCTTTTTCAAGAACCCTAATTTATTTCGGCGCTTTCTCCTGCAATCTTCAAGCTCTTCCACATCTTCCATCTACGATCATGAGTAAGTTGCTCCTCCTCTGATTTTATACTTCCTGTGTCTAGGATTTTGTATTTTGAATTTTTTGAATTGGGTGTTTGAAGTGTGCTGACTGGGTATTTTGGATTTGTATGTTGGGTGTCGCCTTTCGCCTGTTAATCGTTGTAGATTTCGCCTTCTCCCTTTGAAATTTTCCCGAGATCCTTGTTCTCCTTCCTCAATTTCCCCAAAATCGCCCCTTTTTTGTAGAACCCTAATTTCGAAAACCCTCTCTTCTATCTCCTTTTCTTTTTCGTCCAAATTTCTCTTCCTGATATTGCTCTTTTTCTTTTTTATTTTCAGATTCTGCCACCTCGAGCACTTCCTCCGATTCGGTTCATATCTTGCCCTCAGCCCTCGAAGCTGTTCCTCTTTCTATCCTTCGGCCAGGCGAAACCATTCCTACTCGTGTTTTCACCGCCCGCATTGCTTCTTCCAATTCTGGTGATACTATGGATAATATCCCCCTCCGCCGTCGTCGACCTGCTTTCGTCGCTTTAGACGAACCGAAAGAGGATGAGATCGTTTCTCCTCAGCCTGTCTCTGCCCCTTCTTCGACCCTTCCACCTTCCTCTTCCCAGCCTAGGGCTTCTGGTTCTCCTCCGAAAAAATCCTCAACCAAAAAATCCACAAAGCACTCTTCTTCCACCCTTCTTTCTAACCCTTGGTATAGACCTGAAAAGATCGGTCATCCCACCGGTTGGGCGTTCTATAGCCCTTCCTCTTCTGCTACCTTCGACTATCCTCCTGAAGGCTGCTACACCTTTTTCGAAATCCAATTCAAGCTTGGTCTTCGTTTCCCTCTAAATCCTGATCTACTTCAGATCTGCGAGTGGTTCGGGCTTCCTCTTCATCAACTTCCCCCCAACGCTATTCGTTTCATGAC